AGGGAAATCAGTGTGTAGACGGAGAGTGTTTGGGGAGGGGGTAAGGGACATCTCATAGCATATGTAACTATATCATAAAATAATAATAAATGGAAAAAGTATGTATTTACTTATTCCAAAGACAGAGTGACAGAGAAGTGGTGCTGGTGGGCAGGGGAGGAGTGGTGACAGGGAGAAAGGAGTCAGAAAAATCTTTCATCTGCTGGCTCACTTCCCTAATGCTTGTAATTACCAAGGTTGGTCAGGCCAAAACCAGGAGCCATTAATTCTAAGAGCCAGTAACTCGAACCAGGCAGGGACCCAAGCACTTGGGCCATCATCCAGGAACTGTGCGTTAGCATCTACACATTCTGTCCAGACAGCTGGCGTAAAAAAGGACTCACATTGCTCAAAGGGAGATTACCCAGGGCAGAGAAGCATGAAAAAGCTCCCCACAAGGCAGCAGCGTGCAGATGCAGTAGCAGGGAGGTGAACGGGAAATCATACAGCCAGGACTCAGACTGGTATTGTTTCAATTTAACCTGTGCAACAGTGGCTGCTGAACAGCTTCAGATTTCACACTGCTGAAGAATTCCTCTTGGCATTCATTTTTTTTTTTTTTTAAAGATTTATTTTTATTATTTTTTATTGGAAAGGCGGATATACAGAGAGGAGAGACAGAGAGGAAGATCTTCCATCCGATGATTCACTCCCCAAGTGAGCCGCAACGGGCCGATACTATGCCGATCCGAAGCCAGGAGCCTCTTCCGGGTCTCCCACGCGGGTGCAGGGTCCCAAAGCTCTGGGCCGTCCTCGACTGCTTTCCCAGGCCACAGGCAGGGAGCTGGAAGGGAAGCGGGGCTGCCGGGATTAGAACCGGCGCCCATATGGGATCCCGGGCGTGCAAGGCGAGGACTTAACCACTTGCGCCACCGCGCCGGGCCCCATCTTGGCATTCATTTTAAACCTAACATTTTTAAAAAAGATTTATTTATTTTTATTGCAAAGTCAAATATGCAGAGAGGAGGAGACAGAGAGGAAGAACTTCCATCCGATGATTCACTCTCCAACTGATTGCAATGGCTGGTGCTGTGCCAATCAGAAGCCAGGAGCCAGGATCTTCCTGCGGGTCTCCCACGCGGGTGCAGGGTCCCAAAGCTTTGGGCCGTCCTTGACTGCTTTCCCAGGCCACAAGCAGGGAGCTGGATGGGAAGTGGGGCCACCAGGATTAGAACCGGTGCTCAAAGGGGATCCCTGCACATTCAAGGCGAGGACTTCAGCCACTAGGCTACCGCGCCAGGCCCAAGCCAAACATTTTTTGTTGGTGATCACTATTATCAGATTATTTCCCCAAGTTTTAGAAATGTAAACAATATAGAGATTTGGTTTTTTAATCAACAACACTTCAGTTATTTTTCTGCTGACTCTGGGTCAGAGTGCTATCTGGAAAAGCTGAGCAGGCTCCAAGCCGCGGAAGGCAGGAAGCAAAGTCAGTCTGGAATTCCTGCCTCTTCGAGCAGCAAGTGTTTTCTGGAAGGTGGGTTAGAAGAAATAAAGGGAAGGATAGGTGTGGGTGGAAACCATCCCCTTCTTTCGCCAACTAGCAGGAGTTCATTCTTTGGCTGCTCCAGTTGGATTCAGAGGGGAGGTAGCATGCTGTATGAAGAACTATAGCACTTTTTTTCATGAGTCATTTCACAAAATTTGCCCCCAAAAGAAACACACCTCCTAGTAAATTAGTGGAGTTGACGCCACACTAAATCCTGAATTCTAGAACGTCTGCACCTGTGAGAGGCTGCCCTTAACTGTGGCTATCTGCGGGGTACTCCAGGTCACCCTGAGGCCAAAAGGTTGGATTTTAGAGGCCAAGGTGTTTGCTGCTCACTTCACAGACACAGCAAAGGCAGCACTGCACCCACGTGATGTTTGCATCCCGCACATAAATTACGTGCAGGACCTCAGTCAGACCAGCAATGTCAAGCATTGTCCTCGTGGCAAGAATTAAGAAGGTGACAAAATGTCTTAAGAATCAGGATCAATACTGGAAAACTTATTGTAAGGCACAGTGCTTTAAAAAAAAAAAAAAGGCAGGGGGACAGGCAGGATTGTTACAGGTTCAGGATTGGGCACTGCAATGGAAATGAATTTGTTTGAAAATGAGAGAGGCACAGGGAAGGGAGGCAACACACACACACACACACACACACACACAATCTCTCATGACTCCTCCAATGTTCTCAGTGGCTAGGGCAGGCCTCGAGCAAAGGCAGGAGCAGCCAGGAACTCCAGGGCTCTCCCATGAGGCACAGGGACATCATTACTGAGGCTGTCCCCTGCTGCCTCCCTGGGTGTGCCTTGGCAGGAAACTGAAGTCAGAAGAACTGGGACTCAGGCCCAGGCATCCCAAGACCTCAACACCGACTGTCCCACTTTTCTACAAACATTTCAAAATGTCTTGGTATACAGAAAATATATACTGTATAAACTGTATTCCCTACTCTGTGCTGCTGAAAGACCTGGAGATGCTGTCTACAGTGACATCATCCAGGGCAAGCTGGACCAGCGAAACCCGCTGCTAGAAGTGGATTTCTGCATTGGGCGTGACACCGAAAGGACATCAATAACATTGTTAAGACCTTACACGAATGGTTACCAACATCAAGAAGACTCTAAAAGCCACTGCACCCTTCTCGGCCCAGGAGACAGAGCAGCAGCTGCCCGAGCGGGAGAGTCCTCCTCATGCCGAGCAGAAGCAGCCCACCAAGAAGATGTCCAACGTGAAAGGCCTGGTCTCCAGCTGCCACTAGGGCTGGCTGGGGCAGCTGGCACTCACCAGGCCTGGTCAGGCGGGCTGGGACACTGAGGGTCTGCTCCTCCCCTCCCTACCTGCAGTGAGTCCCAGTGTGTGTGTGTGTGTGTGTGTGTGTGTGTGTGTGTGTGTGTGTGTGTGTGTGTGTGTGTGTGTGTGTGTGCAGGTCCTCACCAGCCCCTCCCCACCCCGTCGTTACTGTTCCAGAAAAACCGGGGGACTCCTGTGCCTGCCTCTTCCCTCCGATTAAGGGGTTCCTGACTCCCTGCAGGAGGTTCTGATCTCTGCAACTTTTCTTTTGCTCCTGTTGTTTTGTCAGGCTGGCTACGGTTTTAACCCGCCCACAGGATGGCTGCGGAGGAGGCCCCTCCGCATGGGGAAGGCACACCACCTGCAGCCATAACCCTATGGCTCCCACTGTGGTGCAGGCCGTCCGGAGGCAGGCCCCAAGTCTCTTTCCTCCCTGCCTTTCCCTGTTGGCGGCTCCCAGTTCAGGCCACGGAGGGATGTGACACTGTGCTGTGTTTACTAAACCTGTGGGTTTTCAGCGCTCTAAACCCAGGTCTGGTTTCCACTCGCTGGGAGTGATGGAATCCGAGCACATGCAGAGGAGCTGTGGGGGATGAGGGCAGAAGGTTCTCCCAGCCTGGGGCTTTCACTGGACGCTCCTCCTGCTGGCCGGCTGCTCCTCCGGCCCTCCAGGCTCTGCTGCCGCCTCTGGGCTGCGCTGCAGCGGGGTTGCAGCTGGGCCCTTTGGTGAAGGCCTGGGCTGTCTGTTTCTTCCTTTCCACCCGTCCCTGGCCGGTGACCCTGAGCCCCTGATGATGGCACTCTCCTGGCAAGAGAACAGGACTGGACCAGACTTGCTGAACTTGAACAGTTTCAGGATATATATATTGTACAGGTTCTAATACATTTCAACGTGCTTTTTCGAAAAACAAAATGTGCCAAACACGACTGATGCACGTTGCAGTTGATAACACATTGAAGCCTTGGAACTACCCTATGAGGCAGATACTACTGTGGAACCCATTTTTAAATGAGCGAACTGAGGCATGCATCAGTACAGGGTCACAGTTCAAAACCAGGATTTATACCCCAGGCACTTGTATTGCTGGGCCTGATTCTTACATTAAGAACCCCAGATGGTCAGGGACTTTCTTTTTTTTTAACATAAAGAGCATAGGTTTTATGTAGTTCAAAGCTATAACAAGAAGTTTAATTTTTTTTTTTTGCCCCAATTCCGACTTGCAACAATTCTGCCCTTATTTACCTGATTTGCGGCTCTTGTTTCTGTTGGGTGAGTTCATGAATTCTGCCCCAGGAGCAACTGTCCCACCTGCCTCACTCAGTAGAAGACAAAACTAAAGTCAACTAGACTAACCCCAATGGGCTAGTTCAGTCCCAAGTGTTGCGTCCGAGTTACTCCCTCTCCCGCAGAAGCGTCTTGCGGGCTTCCAGTCCCGCTGTCCTTTTTGCACGTGCGTTACAAACCATTGCGTGCTCACTGGCCTGCTCCACGCCGAGCTGCCTCGGAGCCTCCACCACGTCCACCTTCGCCTTCTCGAGGTGATTCCGTTTCACCGTTCACCTAAGACCCTCTCCGCAACGCCTTCCAGAGCTGTGCAGACCCGCAGCCGAGGACCTTCGCGGCCCTTCCGCATCTCAGCCCAGCGCTCTACAGCCGGATGTGGGGTAACAGGGTCACCCCTGCCAAGCTGCACCCCATCAGGCCAAGGTACCGTGCTCCCACCCCCCAGCCCCGGACCCAGGTCTGCGCACTCCGCCCTATGGGCTGGCGTGAGAAAGAGCTGGCACTGCTCGCTGGAGGAGGCGACCTCTGACAGAAAACCAGGAAAAAGCCTCCGGCGCGGTAGCAGTACGCAGGCGCGCCAGGGCGCTTGTCCCTGCCCCGGCGCGGCCCTGTTGGTGCTCTGGTCCCCGATGGGGGGCGCTGCGGGAGAGCGCCACGGGAAGGTGTTGGGTGGGCTGCTCCCGAGAGGGGAGTGCGGGCCGGGTGGCCGCCGCAGAGGTGGGGCCTGTGCTGGCCTGGGAGTGCCCCGGAGCGGGATGGGGATAGGGCGGCCGCGGCTCGGGGCGCTACCCCGGGGCGCGGACCCGATAAGGCGGGTGACAGCGGGGCCCGGAGGGGCGGGCAGTGCCGCGTCCACGCCTTACGCTCGGGGCCGGGCCAGGAGGGTCCTGGGCTTGGCGGGTGCCGCGCCAGCCGGCTGAGGCGCACGGCTCACTGGCGGCGCCATGCGCGGCTCCGGCGCCTGGCCGCTTCTGCTGCTCGCGCGGCACTGCCCGGCGGTACCGGGGCGTCTCCTGCCGGCTGCCTGCCTGTGGACCCCGGTCACTCGCGCCCCAGGGTCTCTGCCCCTGCTCACGGGCCTGAGAGCGGCGCGGCCCTGGGGCGCAGGGCCGGGGCTCGTCGTGGGTACTGGAGGCGCGCGCTGCCTGGCTGGGGGTCCCGAGGGCCCCGGGCGCGGTGCGACCGTCGTGCGGCTCTTGGGGCTGTGGGCTCGGCCTCGGGACGCCTGCAGGTGCGGAGCGCTCCTCGGGCCGGGGACTCGCCGGCTCCTGAGCGCCGGGCCCCCTGGCGGCCCCGCAGCCGCTGCCCGGGCGGGAGGCGAGGCCTGGCGGCGCGGGTCGGCGGCCACTGCTGGGGACGACTCGCGCCTGCGGCCGGCAGAGGTCCAGCGATCCGATGCCCGGAAGCTCCTGGGGCTGGCGTATCCCGAACGCGGGAGACTGGCAGGTAGGGGGTGCCCCCAACCCGCCGCGCAGCTATTGCTCCTCGCGCAGATCCCAGGGCGTCAGAGAGCTCCTCTCCGCTGCCCTTGCTGGAGGGAGGCGGAGGTTTCACCTACGGCTGGTGCCGCCAAGTTCTGGCCGGCCAGCACACCTCTGAATGGCCTTGTGAAGATTTCGGATGCTGAGGACTTCTTCCCAGAATGTTGTTTAGTTTCTTGGTGCACGTTACGCAAACTGGCTAGTGGCTCGCGTGGGGGGAGGCTTTGGATCTGTTACATCTCCATGTGAGTGCATGGGCCCTGACACTTGGACCTCTTTTCCTGCTTTCCCAGCTAGATTAGCAAGGAGCTAAGAATGCTTATTTTGTATTATGCTGTTTTTTTTTTTTTTTTAAGTCAGTTGTGTTAGACCCATTAATCAAGCCAGTCGACGCTGTTTGTACAATGTGAAGAAATCGGTATGAACTCTCAAGAGCTTTGGGCTTTCGCCTCCCTGAGCGGGACAGGGAAGATTACTGCGCTGTGTTCAGAATAATAAACCTTGGCCACAGTATTGTAGATGATAACACAGCTAGATTATTAATTTATGTTTTAAATAATGATTTACTTGTTTGAAAGGGAGAGTTACAGAGAGAGGAAGAGAGAGAGCTTCCATCTACAAATAGCCGTTGCAGCCAGGAGCTTCTTCCAGGTAGCCCACCTAAGTGCTGAGCTCCAATGCTTTCCCAGACCATTAGCAGGGAGCTGGGTAAGTGCAGCAGCTGGGATACGAACCAGCGCCCATGAGATGCCAGCATTGCAGCTGGCGGTTTAACCTGCTATGTACAATGCCAGCCCCCAAATTTAAAATGTTTAAGCATTTATTGATGTGTTTCAAAGGTAGAGTTCCACACAGAGAAGGAGAGGCGCTTGCTTCACTCCTCGGATGGCTGCAGTGCCGGAAGTGGAGCAGCCAAGGCTCAAACCTGTGTTCATTGCAGGCAACAGCTCAAGCTCAGGTTACAGTCTGGGTTTTCTGTTTTGTTTTGATAAATTGAAACGACCAACCCTGGTTGTGCAATGAGATTAGCTGCCACCTGGAGTCCCAGCTCTTCCTCTTTTGCCCGGCTCCCTGCTAACGTGCCTGGGAAAGCAGCAAAGGAGGCCCGAGTTTCTGGGCCTCACATGGGAGACGTGGATAAAATCCCTGGTTCACTCTCTCCACTTGCTTGTAACAGCAGGACCTGGGTCAACTAGGAACCAGGAGCTCAGGAATTCTATCTGAGTCTTCCCTGAGGGTGGCAGTTACCCCGGAGTTTAAGACATCATCTGCTGGCCATCTGGGGTGTGCATTAGCAGGAAGCTAGATCTGAAGCAAAAGCAGAACTTGACACCAGATCTAAATGGCTTAGGCCACTGTGTCACAACATCTGCCCCAGTTATTTTTATTTTCAAAATAAATAATACAGATTTTTTTATTATAAACATTTCTACTGAAAAATCCTTGTTAGGATTTTCCTTCAGAGGCTCTTATATATATTAAAGTCTATCTGGATGCTGGTATTTATAGAAATAAGAGGAAGTAGGGAACATGTCTTCGTAATGCTGGAGATTAAAGTTTCTTAAAAGTGTACTTTTTAAGATCAAAAGACCAAAAAAAAAAAAATACTGCATTGAAGAGAAGTTATCTTAATGTTAATATTTAGGAAAACAAACACAAAAATCAATTCAAAAGTTCAAAAGCAAAAGTTCAGCTTTAGGTTTGCATCCTGATACTTTGATGTGTCTTGAGCAGTGTATGAAGTGCAGTAAGAGAACTTGGATGGGAAGCGATTTGTATCAGAAGCTTTGGAGGATCGTCCCAGTGGACATGCTTCCCGTGGCTCCGCAGCATGGCTTCCGTGCCTCTTCTCTAACCTGCTCCTTAGTCCCGCTGCCCCCCTCACTCTGTGTAGGAATGTCTAGCTATTTTCCTGACCTTGTGCCCAAGTCCTTTGAGAGGGATAATTCTTCATCTTATCAATGATCAGAAGGAGTCCTCAAAGTTGCCAGGAACAGCATTTGGTCTGGTGAGATAAGAAGTGTTTTGTCAGAGCCTGCTTGCTGAGCTGGGCAGATAGAGGCCATGCTGAGGACTCAGAGCCTCCCCAGCGTGGTGGGGCCTGAGGCTCTGGCCCTCAGGTGTCCTTGGGAGCTTGTGTGTGTGTGGTGGGCCTCGGTCAGCAAGGCAGACGACCAGGGACTGCACACTTCTTCCCTGCCTGCCCCTCCAATTATGGATAGAGAGGCTGTGGTTGGAGATTAGAGCCATTCCTGAAAGCTAGCACCTGCTGGCAGCTTTGGGGGTTTGTAGTTTTAGTTGATGGAGATGGCTCGTGAAGTTGTCCATGCAGGTCACAGCCATGGGGCTGAGGAATGCTCAGAGTGACTGCCCTCTGAACACAGTCTGGACAGTGTCCTGCCAAGAACAGGGCAGTGTGGGTGGGGAGGACAAGCCTTTGACAATGGAGCTGTTGCAGAAGTAGCAGGTATTGCTGTACACCGAAACACCTTGCTTCAAGGAAAACCTGCTGTAGCTGTGTTGTGACCTGTGGCTGACTGGGATTGGCTGAGGTGTCAATACATGTGAGCTGCTAAAAGCACAGAAGGAAAAAGAATGTAAAATTATCTTCTTAAATATTATGTTGGTTATATGTAAATAATATTTGGGATATACTGGGTCCTATAAAGTATTAAAATTAAATCTTGCCTGTATTTTGTAATGTAGCAACTAGAAAAAAGTTACATAGGTGGTTTACATCTTGTGTCTGTTGGAGGGTGTTGGTCCAAGGTGAGCCCCCTGTGTTAGTGGGCAGGTGCTCCTGTGAAGGTGGGAAGATGTCCTCAGCTTTGGAGGACACACTGGGGCTCAGATCCCTGACTGTGGGTCACTTTATGAAATGTACCAAGGAATCTCCAAGCCCTCTGCTTCCTTCCCATCTGTCAGTGCTTCCTGGCTTTGCTCGCTTTCCTTGCTTCCAATCATACCAACATAAAAAAACTTAATAAGATGCTTTTTGCCACTCCGCTTTTAGAACCTGACATGTATTTTATACTTCAGTTCGTCTCATAGAGCCCAGATCCCGACACAGCTAGAGAAGGCGGATGCCTTCACTTAAGATGCCCTGCATCTGGGGGAAGTGTCTTCTAGACTCCTGAAGACCCAGCATATCTAAAGACCACAGTTACCTTCTCGCTCCCAAGCAGCCCCTTGTCTGGGTGTGGACTGCTGTGGGAATCCCTGGGCCTCAGCCAAAGATGTGGGTGGTTACTGTCATGGCAACAGTAGTAATGAGGCAATAGCTTTTGTTTCTTATTTACTAGTGAGCGGGCTGTGTGCCAGATGATTTAGGTATAAATCTCATTTATCTCTCACAACACTTCCATGAGGGAACAGTTATTTTTATTTCCTCTTATAGATAAGGAGTCTGAAGCATAGAGAAGTTGAGTGACTCATGCCAAGTTACACTGCTACATGGCAGAGCTCTGGTTCTGAACCTGTCTGTTTCACCTTGACAACTGGCCCTGTTACTTACTTATTTATCTGTTAGACAGAACTTACTGTGGCATGGCAGCTTAATTTGCTGCCTCCAATGCCAACATCCCATATAGGTGCTGGTTCAGTTCCTGGCTGTTGTACTTACTGTTGAGTTCCCTGCTAATATGTCTGGGAAAGCAGTGGATGATCACCCCCCAGTGCTTGGACCCCTCTGCTCATGGACGAGGCCCAGATGAAGCTTCTGATGTCTGCTTTCAGTCTGACAGCCCCTACTGTTGTAGCCATGGTGGGGGCGGTGAACCAGTGAATGGAAGATCTCTTCCTCTAACTTTGCCTCTCAAAATAAAATTTTTAAAAACTGGCCCTTTAAAAGCTTATTTGTTTTTAAGATACAGTTAGGAATTAGAGGGAGATCTTCCATCCATTCCCCTAAACGGCTGCAACGACTGGGCTTGGACAAGGCTTAAGTCCAGAGTCAAGAGCTTCATCCAGGTTGCCATATGTGTGACAGGACCACAAGTACGTGTGCCATCCTCTGCTGCTTTCCCAGGAACATTAGCAGGGATCTGGACTGAAGTGAAGCAGCCAGGACTGGAACCAGCACTGTAGGGGATGCTGGCATTACACATGGCAGTTTAATGCAGTGCACCACAGTGCCAGCCCACCAGAACTGACTGTTCTGACCTGCTGCCCATATCCCACCAGTCATTATGTTCGGAAGCATCCAGTTCTTAAAATATCCTCGCTCTGTCTCACTGTCCTTTATTACTCTGCTCCCCTCTGGCTCATCCCTGCTTGCCTTTGCCTAGGGTACCAGAGCAGGGTTCTAACCGTCTCCTTGTACCAGCCTCTCCTTTCATTCCATAGATAGAGTGGATCATTTAAAACTGGAACCCCTTCCCAACATAAAGCCCCTATTGACCTGTATTGCCACAGAATCCATATCCTGTTTTATAATCTAGAGCCCACCTTCATTTCTCAGTACTGCTTCCTGTGTCCGCATGAGGTCTTTGCCGCAGCTCCATCCTGCCTGCCTTCCTGAATCCCCAGGAAATCCCTTGTACTTTGGGGAGTATTTGCCGCTGTGGAATGATCGGAAGGATTAATTGCTGGTATAAAACAAGCAAGGAATTTTGCACTGAACCCTCTCTCAGCAGGATGCCTGCTTCCTGAGCTGCCGGTTTGCCTCACCGGGACTGAGTTGTACAGAGCCTGAGTTAGAGGCTCCTGCCCTTTGCACTGCAGGTTCCTCTTGGGGACTGTCTCCAGGACTGGAATACTTTGAAACAAGAATCTGGACCAGCAAACTGAAACGGCCCTAGTCCAGGTTCACATTAATCAGTTGGATTGTGGACTTTTAAACTAGGCTTGTGGGCACTGTGACCTGCCAGACTTTATCTTTCTACCCTAGGCTATTACAGTACTTTGGCCTAATAGATTGTATTGCATGCTTTGCCAAAGTTGCACTGATATATTCATTCAACAAATGCTGATTGAGCTTTTCTTGTGTGCCTGCCACTGTAGGCAGTGAATGAAGCAGATAAAACCCTTTATGTTCTAGTGAAGAGATAGATTTTATTAAGTGAAACATCTAGAATTCCAGAAGGTAGGAATTGCTAGGAAACACGTGAAGCAGGAGAGAGACACACGGTGGCAGGTGTCTTTCAAACAAGACTGTCAGAGCAGCTGCTTTGGAGAGGGGATATTAGAAGAATGACCTCAAGGAGGGGTGAGGTAATGTGTACAAAATGTTCACTGCTTAATAGGCTCACGTTTCTCCAGAGCTGTTTGCCAACTAAATAACCAGTTGACCCTGAGTTTTCTCTACAGCCTGTATTAAGGTTATGTAAAGTGACTGAAACATTGTATAATAAAAGCCAGCGGGAACATAGACATTAACCATAACCCAAGTGAAGAGCGTTGGGGATGCCTGTCTGCTGGGGTTCAGTCTGTGGAATGTCCCTCTGAGAGCCGCACCAGGCAGGCTCGTTGTGGGCTTCTGAGGGTAAGGGATGCACAGAGTACCACACTCAAAAGTGACGCAAGGAAAAAAGAAGACCCTAGTCACCCCATAGAAGTATTCTATTCATATAAGTATTCTACGTGCTCATGATTTATCCTGTAGAATGTTGTCTGTGTGTCTAAACTTTAAAAACTGGCAAGCAAAAAAGTGCCACACATTAGTATTTTTGCATCCTGGGTGTTTGCCTTTTTGCTTTTTCCAGTGACATTGTGTGTCTTGTAAGATTATTCTGTATCACCCTCTGCTTTCAGTGATTACATGTTTGCAAAAAAATGCTTCATATTTGATTTGTCTCCTATCGGTGGGTGTTTTAGGCATTTTGATTCTTTTTTCTGGTATAAGCATTGCTGTAATGAGCTTTCTTGAATCTACGTTTTTCCTCGTACACCTATGGGGGAATCTCTCAGGTAAAATCTCAGAGAGCAATTGCTACAACTAAGGAAATAAGGATTTACATTGTGACTTATTTATGATCAAATCTCTTCAACAAGACTATGCCAGTGTGTACTTCCAGTAGCAGTGTTAAGTCCCTCCTTGCTGACATCTGCAACGGAGTGGGCAATTGAACTGGTAGCGGAAATCATCTGCTAACCGATACCTTAAAAAAAATGTCTTTGTAGTTTAACTGTACATTGCTCTTGTTGCAAGTACGCCCATTTGTGACATGTGATTCTTAATGAATTTTGTTCATATTTTCTGATCAGGCTCTGTTTTTCAAATAATGAACAATTTTGTTTTTTACTTATTTGTGTGTCACAGTCTCTAGAATTTCATTCACCCAAGTTCTTAAGAAAGAATGTATCATGTTTGTTATGGATCCCTGCAACTGCTTTTGGAAGATTGTTTAGTGCATCAAAGTGTGTGTGTGTGTGTGTGTGTGTGTGTGTGTCTGTCTGTCTGTCTGTCTGTCTGTCTGTCCGGCTGTTTAGTTTTGTTAGAAAGAGAGCGCTTCATTTGCAGGCTTGCTCCCATTCACAGGCTCACTGCCCCAAATATAACACGGGTGCTGGACTAGGGCTGAAGCTGAGTTAGGTACTCGGTCAGGATCTGCCACATGGGCAAGTGGGGACACAAGTACTTGGGCCGCCACCACCACTACCTTCCAGGGTCTACCTCAGCAGAAAACTGCAGTCCAGAGCCAGCGCTGAGTCAGGCACTCAGATGGGGAATGGGGCGTGTTCTCCATGGAGACAAAAGCCTGCCCCAAATGTAGTGTTTTGAAATATCAGACATAATCAGAAGTTTCACCTGAGTATTTTGACCTTTATGTGCACTTATACCCAGGAATAACAATATATGTAGGGAAAACATGATCTGAAGTGAATATAAAGGTTGAGAGGTAGTGAAGAGGGCCCGCTGCAGTAGCCTAACAGCTAAACTCCTCGCCTTGCACATGCCAGAATCCCATATGAGTACCAGTTCTAATCCTGGAGGCTCCACTTCCCATCCAGCTCCCTTCCTGTGGCTGGAAAAGCAGTCGAAGATGGCCCAAAACCTTGGGATACACATGGAAGACCCGGAAGGGACTCATGGCTCCTGGCTTCAGATCTCCTCAGCTCCAGCCACTGCGGCTGCTTGGGGAGTGAATCATCAGACAGAGGATCTTCCTCTCAATCTCTCTCCCCCTCTCTGTATATCTGACTTTCCAATAAAAATAAATGAATCTTAAAAAAAAAAAATTAGGCAGTGAAGGAGTCCAGCCTAGATTGGCTTTTGATTATTCCTGGTGAGGAAGGGATGGCTGAGCCAGAAAGTTGTCTGTTCCTGGCTTGGGGCTGACCACACACCTCCTGACAGTCACATTGATTCTCACTCTGGAAGCATGTGGTTCTTCCTTCAGTCAGACCTTCAAGGAGGAAAGGGAAGAAACTGCTGGCATTGACAGCCAGCCCTGCTCTGGAGACTGTGTCCGGGAGGGAAGCCCCTTGAACTCTGCAGCCCACCCCTTTTTGCTGAAGCGCGCCCTTGTGTTTTCCAGCTGCAGTTGGCTTTCTGGCTGTGTCCAGTGTCATCACCATGTCTGCCCCGTTCTTCCTGGGGAAGATCATTGATATCATCTACACCAATCCCACTGTGGACTACGGCGACAATCTGACCCGCCTCTGCCTCGGGCTCGGCTGTGTGTTTCTGTGCGGTGCTACTGCCAATGCCATTCGCGTCTACCTCATGCAGACCTCAGGTAGGTGTCGCCCTCTGCAGGTCACCCTAAGGAAGACGCAGGGCCATCTGCAGGTTGGTCTGGGGCTTGATTCATGAGGGCAGACCCTCATGTCAGGGCTTGTGTGGAAGTAGCAGGTGGCTGGAGGCCGAGTTCTCTCAACTCTTCTCTGACGTGCTGGAGTTGAGCAGTGTGCGAAGTAGCCACACTTACCGCCTGGGAGGTTTGAGATGAAGGCCCTCAGCTGTGAAGTGGGAGTTCTGGGTCTCCTTTGAGGGGCTGCAGAAACCTGTATGTGTCACATGCCTGCGTATTTTTATTTGGTAGCAGCCTTGATAATAACATTGTTTTGGGTATTTTCCAAGAGATTTAGTTGTTACTGAGCGACTCAAGGGCAGAGAGTCAGAATCCGTTGGTTGCCTCTCAGCTAATTAAAATACCCTGCAGTAGGTAACCAGTTCTTGCCATTTGGAGGCTCATAACTAAAGTTGGTTTCCAGAAAGAAACCGAATTAGCATAGGCATATGAACATGATAAAACTTTGTTGTAAATTAGCCTTTAAACACTCACCAGTCACACAATGTTTATTTGATCGCTGTATCCTCCCCCGAGTGCCCAGTCTGTAGGTGTGCAGAGAACATGCGTGTGCACTGTGAATGCGTGACTGTCACTTCTCCAGGGGCTGGCCGGCTCTGAGATGCAGCGCAGCAGGCCTGCTCAGCGGCCGCGGCACTCGGAGGACTGCTGTCTGCTGGGGGGCTGCGCCTTCGAGGGAGCGGTGGCCGTACCCGATGCTTGCTTTTGCAGGCCAGCGCATTGTGAACAGGCTGAGAACTTCGCTGTTTTCCTCCATTCTGAAGCAGGAGGTGGCCTTCTTCGACAAGACTCGCACCGGAGAGCTGATTAACCGCCTCTCCTCAGACACGGCGCTCCTGGGGCACTCGGTTACCGAGAACCTCTCAGACGGGCTGAGGGCCGTGGCCCAGGCTTCTTTCGGCATTGGCATGATGGTATGTTGGCCCGGCTCCTTTTAGTGCCCTCTAGTTAGGGCTGGACCTAGCATTTTAGATGCAAGATGACCTTGAGCTCAGGGAGTGTGGGGATGGGAGCACCCTCCCGGAGGCTGCAGGTTTTAGGGATCACCTCTTCTTCAGATGAAGGCTCATCTGGAGCACGGACTGTGGGGAGTGTTGCTGGGTGTTTCTGAAAGCAGGTGAACCAAGGGTGTAAAGGGCAGAAATGAACGTGAGGCAGAAGGAGCCCTGTGGATGCTGAGAGGAGAGAGGTCGCCATTCCTCTGCATGCCCATGTGTATCTGTGCTCCTCTCAAGAGAGCCTCCCGCATTTCTTGTGAAGGATTTTCCTCCCTTAGCCAGGCAGCTAGAGACGGTCGCTTCTGCTTGCTTTACTTCTTCAAACAGTATTTCTATTCAGGCCGGCACTGTTGGCCACAGAACTGCAGCGGAAGCCGTGTGTGTAACTTTAATGAAGAAGCCTTACGTGTCAGCAGCCTAGTGCCATTTTCCAAATATAAATGGTCCTGTAGTTCAGGAAGAGTTCAAACGGTGGGCGGGGGTTGGCAGAACCACCTGGGGAACCTCTCTCTCTGCCATATACTGTGAATTCAGTATAAGTCACTTGGCCAATTCAGACAGGCCCATCTTAATCTTTGTTTGGAATGCCATATGTAGCCAGATACCACAGACTGGGGCAGTTGAGCAATAGGAATGTATTTTTCACAGTTCTGGAGGCTGAAGTCTAAGCTCAAAGTGGAAGAAAGAGGTTCATTCTGAGGCCTCTTCTCTTGACTTGGAGGCAGTAATCTTGTTCTATGTGCAAATGGTGGACAGAGAATGAGCGATCTGGTTGCCCTACAGGAACACTAATCCTACACTTACATCCTTATGAACTCATTTCATCTTAGTTACCTTCGGAGAGACACCAGATACTTGTGCAAATACAGCTGTCCCAGGGGTTAGGGCTGCGTGAATCTGAGGGAGACAAACACTGAATCCATCTAGGGCCTCCACCACCCGGGATCTGGGACTGTATTTCTTCCACACAAGCTCCCTGAACCTGACTTAAGATGAGCTAAGCAACAAGAATCTGATATTGTCTGTACCACACTGCCAGATTATTAGTTGCCATCACCAGTCTTCCATCACCAGCCACATAGTTCTTCTATTCAAAGTTCCCTTGCAGGTGCCGTGATACCATCACACATGGAGGAGGATGTGGGATTAGTTACCTTGGGTCACGGAGAATCCTGATGGATTGTACCTACACCACCACGGAGAGCTGATACACATTTGAACAGTTCGCTTGAGATCAGTTGCATTCAGGGTCCAGAACTTTGTTCCTGACTCCACCCCAGTTCCTTCACAAGTCTTGGCATCAGAGGCGTGGCTGTGCTCCCTGAGGCTCGGCCCGAGTGTCCTCATGGCCTTGGCTGCTCAGAGTGCTCATTCGTGTTAGCACCTGGATTTAAATCCCATATGCCTCGCTTACTTGGTTGTTTTGTAGCTCCCAACTTGCTGTCTTCCCTGTGAGAGTCAATTATCTACCGAGTGCCTGCAATAGTAGACAGAGGTAATTTACTGAATGAGTAGACGTGACCATTGCTTTATATTCCAGTCTGCGTTGTTTCCTCGGTGTGTTGAGATCTTTGTACTGGTTATTCTATTTTCTGTACAAATGAGGTTTAGTAGGTTTTAATGATGTATCATTTATAATTACCACCATATTATAGGGTTGACAAGAAAACTTACTACTTCTAGAAGTTGGTTATTTCAGCACTTCCAGGTGGTTTCAGGTCACTGACTGCAGAAATAGCTCCAAGTCTTAACTCCACTTGTTAGCTGTGTCTCCTAGGTCTTCTCTGACTCCTTGCTCGGAAGATAGAGGGTTGGTTTTATTTTTGTGTGTTTTTAGTGCCTTTGCCACCTTGATCATTTCACTAGCACGTTATTTTATTTGTTGAGTGCCTTGAGGTGATCCAGACTTGAACACCAAACTCCTGTGAGGCTTACTCAGTGTTAAGCAGAAAGAGTCTGCCCCCCTGGACTCCCATCTACTCTTTCCTCCCTGTTGAAAGACATGCTCTAATATAATAGTATCAGTGTGAAGATAAAATATTTACAATCTTTCATTAGCAGCTTCCTGTCACATTACTTCTGTATGGTAAACTGAATACTCACGGGGCTTTTTGAAGACTAAAGTGATGTGGAGAATTCCGCTGAAACAAGAAATAACAATTTGGAGGTAGCGCCTTCAAACTGGCTGTTCCTGAAGCAGACATGCCTATTTCTTGAAAGGAAAGGAGAATGTCTCGCTGTCCTGTGTAATGAGTACCTCTCGACTTCTGTTTTGGCAGTTTTTCATCTCACCCAGTCTGGCCACCTTTGTTTTGAGTGTGGTGCCTCCAATATCTATTCTTGCAGTGATTTATGGACGATATCTGCGGAAACTGACCAAAGTCAGGCAGGATTCACTGGCACAAGCCACTCAGGTAAAGGCCCCTTCTCACCCCTGTATGTCCAGTAGGGTGAGCTCAGAGCCATGGCTCTCAAGTTCAAAGGCAGGCCCAATGGGATGTGCTTATGTTTTTTAAAAAAATATATTTTGCTTTCACTACTTTCAAGCCTAAGATTTGAAATCTAGAGGACTCTGGCTTCTAGAGTAGATCTCTACCCATGTCTCAGATGGTCTCCAATCTGACTAAACCTTATAAACTTCTAACTTTTTAAAGTATCTATTTATTTTACTTGAAAAAGCAGATTTTACAAAGGGAGAAGGAGAGAATGTCTTCCATCCCCAGATGGCTGCTCAACAGCCAAAGCTGAACTGACCTGAAGTTGTGAGCCAGGAGCTTCTTCAGGGTTTCCCACGTGGTTGCAGAACCATATGTACTCTGCTGTTTTCCCAGGCCATAAGCAGAGAGCTAGATCAGAAGTGAAGCAGCCAGAACATAAGCTGGCACCTATATGGGATCTAAGTCCCCACAAGGCAGAGAATTGCCTTGCTGTGACACCATGCCAGTCTTGAACTTGTAATTTCTTAGTACTTCTTGTGACAACAATATCAACAACACAAAAGCCTATCATTTTGGGGCCCGGCGCGGTGGCGCAGTGATTAAGGTCCTTGCCTTGCACGCCCGGGATCCCATATGGGCGCCGGTTCTATCCTGGCATCCCCACTTCCCTTCCAGCTCCCTGCCTGTGGCCCGGGAAAGCAGTCGAGGACAGCCCAAAGCTTTGGGACCCTGCACCCGCGTGGGAGACCCGGAAGAGGCTCCTGGCTTCGGATTGGCTCAGTCCCAACCGTTGTGCTCATTTGGGGAGTGCATCACCGGACGGAAGATCTTCCTCTCTGTCTCTCCTCTCTGTATATCCACCTTTCCAATAAAAAAAAATAATAAAAATAAATCTTTTTTTTAAAAAAAGCCTATCATTTTATAAAAATAGCTTCTGGGGATAGTGTTGTGGCAAAGTGGCTTAAGCTACTGCTTGTGACATTGGCAACCAGTTCAAATCCTGGCTCCTCTTCTTTGGATATGGCACCTTGCTGATTCACCTGGCAGGGCTAATATGCTGTTAATACTATGAACCTGCTGATACACCTGGTAAGGCAACAGATGATGGCCCAAGTGTTTGGGCCTCTGCCACCATGTGGGAGACCCTGATGGAGTGCCTGGCTCATGGTTTCAGCCTGGTTCAGACCTGGTTGTGGTGACCATTTAAACAGTGAAACACTGGGTGGAAGAAATCTCTTTTTTTCCCTCTCATACTTCTCATTCTGCCTTTTTAAACAGATAAGTAAATAAATCTTTTCAAAAGATTTATTTTATTTTTATTGGAAAGTCAGATATGCAGAAAAGAGGAGAGACAGAGAGAAAGATCTTCTGTCCGATGATTCACTCCCCAAGTGACTGCAACGGCCGGTGCTATGCTGATCCAAAGCCAGGAGCCAGGAACTCTTCTGGGTCGCCCATGTGGGTGCATGGTCTCAAAGCTTTGGGCCATCCTCTACTGCTTTCCCAGGCCATAAGCAGGGAGCTGGATGGGAAGTGGAACGGAAGGGATTACAACCGGCACCCATATAGGATCCTGGCATGTACAAGGCGAAGACTTTAGCCACTAGGCCATGCCGCTGGGCCTGAAATAAATAAATCTTAAGAAAACAGTTTCTGGATAATGTTGCATCCTTTGTTAATTTAATAAAACTAACTTTTCTGTAATGTGCAGCATTTTTTAAGAACACTAAAATATATTTCCTTGTTATAAGACATATAATGTTATCATTGAAAACTTTGAAAAATATAAAAACAAAGCACACATAGTCTCAGAATTAATAACATAAGCATTTTGGAGTGTGGCTTTTCCATTCATATTTTTGTCTGCATAGAGACAAAAGTACCTACTACTTTGCTCTTTTCTCTCAAATCTACCAAGTCTGTCTGTCTATTTTGTATAGGTATTGGTTTATTTTTCCAATGATAAATTTATTCTCTATACTCAGCTATGTAACCTTTTAAAAAAATGTTCTTCAGTTATGTGCCACAGTCGGCTTTCCCTTGGTAGTAGCTTAAATGAGAATCACATTTTAATTTTTCTTCCAGAAACTCTTAAAATGTGTCTTATTATTTTCCCAGCTAGCTGAGGAACGTATTGGAAATATAAGAACTGTTCGGGCTTTTGGAAAAGAGGTGACTGAAATGGAGAAATATGCTGGCCAAATGGACCACCTGATGCAGTTGTCAAGAAAGGAGGCGTTTGCTCGGGCTGGCTTCTTTGGCGCAGTAAGCAGATCACTGTAAAGGAGTCAACAGGGCAGATGTGAGGGTTGGGAGAGATTTTTTTTAAGCTGTGGGTCTTGCCATCAGCAGAAAATAATCCTGGTTTAGTTCAAAGACTGAGTTCATCATTAAGATGGGTTGTGACAGAAAGAGGGGACAAGTAAATGTTATGAGAGAAAAGCTGTGCGTGGTGAGGTCAGAACAGAGCTGCTTAGCCCTGCCATTCTCAGCCCCACCATGTTAGAGTATAAGGAGGTAGGAGCAGCAATCCTAACCGGCCATTGCAGTCATCCTAAAGCCAGGAAAGTTGGAGACTGAATAAGTCCAGTGGGTTGCAAGAAAGAAGGGTCAAAAATTGATCATCATGAACTGAAGCAAGGGCATAAAATACGTAGTTATCCCAAAGACAAATTCCTGCTCTGTTCAAAGTGGCGAGAACTTTAGGTGTCACTCTGCTGGAGGCATAAAACAGAAGGTGAGCTGCCCTTCCCAAAGACCACATTCCCCACAGAGGTCCAAGCAGGGCACAGATGCTGGGTGCCATCCCGTAAATGCAGTGTCCTGGCCAGGAGCACCTCCTTAGCATATTCAAACACATAGAATGATATTTCTTTCTTTCTCATTTGCAAAGCAAGTAAATTGAATAGAATAGGAATATGATGAGTGACTTAACGTCTAGATTTTCATGGTAGAGAAATTATTTTCAGCATTGAAAATATTCCAAACACCTGCTTTATTCGATACTTAACATTTGGAAAAAAAAAAAAGTCTAGCGGTGATGGTTACGTGCAGCAAGAAAAACCTAGGTCATGCTAATGTGTTTTGCATTGCGGGTCTTTTGTTCTCACCTGATCCCTGTGTGTCCTTCCTTCTACAGACTGGGCTCTCTGGGAACCTGATTGTACTTTCCGTCCTGTACAAAGGAGGGCTGCTGATGGGCAGTGCCCACATGACAGTGGGTGAACTCTCTTCCTTCCTAATGTATGCTTTCTGGGTTGGATTAAGCATTGGAGGTATATGATTTTAAAAGGCTTTGGGGGATTACTACTACAGCTAGGCTTTTGTTTTTCTATTTTTAAAGAATGTATTTACTTGAGACAAAGAAAGAGACAGATAGCCAAAGAGCTGTCATCTATTGGCTCCCTCCTTGAATGCCTGCTGGCATCTGGGACTGGACCAGGCTGAAGCCAGGAGCTGGGAATTCAGTCCAGGTCTCCCACGTGGGTAGCAGGAATCCAGCTAACCGTCACCTGCTACCTTCCAGGGTGTGTTTTGTATGTAGCCTTTCCTGTTGCCCTAGTGTGTCTAGTAACACACATGAAAGGCCCTCCATATCTTTTCATGGCTGGATAAATGATTTCTTTTTAATATTGAGTAATATTTTGTTATATGGTTATAACTATAGTTCGCCTCCTACTAAGAACATTCTGAATACTTCAAACTGTGGGCAAGTATGAATAAAGCTATCAGAGACATGTGCAAACTTTTATCTGGACATAAACTTTCAGCTTAGTTGTTGAAAGTACAGTTGTTGGATCAGATGGCAACAGTATGGTTTGATTTTGTAAGAAACTGCCAAACTGTCTTCCACACTGGCTGTGTCGTTATGCATTCGCACCAGCAATGAGTGGCAGTTTCTGTTGCTGCCCAGCCTTGCAGCCTAATGGCTGTGTGTGCAGAGGCACCTCGTGTTACATTAGCTTGTATTTCTCTCATGACACATGATATTGAGCACCTTTTCACATTTCTTAGTTTTCCATTTTCCATTTAGGTCTGAATCAGGGCAGTTAGTTCTTGTGAAAGGTATAAAGTCTATGTCTACATTTATTTTTTTTTGCCTGTGGATATTGGTTATTCCAGAAACGTTTGTTGAAAAGATAGCCAGTGTGTTGTCATTGAATCTTCTTTGCCTTGTCTTTGCTTCTTTGTCAAATATCATTAACTATATTGATGTAGGCCTATTGTTGCCCAATATTTAATTCAAAGCTGAGATTTTAGCCTGGTATATCTTACATAACTATCCATATACCATAGGGAGATTATTTGAATCACATTCTTTCAGCCACCTTAATTGGAATAAATGCTACAAATATTGATTCTCCTATTGACATGGACTATCATACTTGGAGTTTCAGTTGTTAATTAAGTCAAAGTTTAAAAGTGAGTCATGATAGGGCTGGCTTTGTGGTACTAGCATCCCACATGGGTGCCAGTTCTTGGGTTTAAGACCTAGCTGCTCCACTTGCAGTTCAGCTCCCTGCTAATGCATCTGGGAAGGCAGCAGAGGATGACCCAAGTGCTTGGGCTTCCACCCACACAGAAGGCTCCAGGCTCCTGTCACAGCCCCTGCCATTTGGCCATTAGCCATCTGGTGGGTGAACCAGCAGATGGAAGCCCTCTCCCTCCCATCCCCCTCTAGCTCTACCTTGCACATATTTTATTTTTAAACAGCGATTTATAACACAAGCATTTTCCCTGTGTCTGAGATGCTGGTTCAGGCCTTTGTGCTATGATGGAGTGTCTAGGTTCTGTACCTGGCTCTTCTCCCGACTCCGGCTTCCTGATAACGCAGACTCTGAGAGGAAAGGATGATGGCTCATGTCGTTAAGTTCCTTCACCCATTTAGGAGAGACCTAGATGAAGTCCCTACCTCCTGGCCTGGTCCAACCCTACTTGTTGCAGCCATTTGGCGAGTGAACTAGCAGATGGAAGATCTTTCTTTCTGTGTCTCCTCTCTGTAAATCACCTTTCCAATGAAAATTAATAAATCTTTAAAGAAAAAATGATTCTGCTAGAATAATTAGCATTAAAGCAAATTCCTTTTTAGTTTTTAGCCTATGTGAGGATTGTATTTACTGAGTGCCTAAAAGGAAGATTGAAATTTGTAGGTTTCCCTTTTAAATAAAACTGATGTATTTTCTGTTCCTTTTAATTATGGGATAAGCATTATATTTCAATAATACTGCTTTTTTTTTCTTACTAGGAAGATTTTCTCTAGCATTGTAATTTTCATTCAGTGACTAATTAGTATGAGTATATATTTGTAAACTCCTTGATCAGGTATCCAATCATTAGCAGTCAAATGATTTGGAATAGAAAGTGCCAAAAGAAAATAGGGTACTAGAAGAACTTGTGAAAATAAATTCCCAGTGCTGTCTAAAATGCTTTTTGGCGGTAACAGATTTTCCATTACATTGATATTATTGTCACTGTTCCGGGAGAAGTGGGAGGGGCTGGCAGCTGTTCCCTGGAGCAGGTGGGTCTGTGTGTGACTCTGCTTCTCCTCCTCAGGTCTGAGCTCTTTCTACTCGGAGCTGATGAAAGGATTGGGCGCAGGGGGACGCCTCTGGCAGCTCATAGAGAGAGAGCCCAAGTTGCCTTTTAATGGTGAGTCTGATGGGAATGCTATTCTTGATGAGGACCAAGTAACTCTGGCTCTGTGCATAGCAAGACCAACTACTTGTGTCAGGCTGACTATGGGAAAGCAGTGAGGGAAAACAGGACAGTGTCCAGGGTTGTACTACAGGCTGGGGATGTCCATGGGAGCATGGAGGCAGACCATGTTGTATGCTGTCAGTTGGGCATATCTTCAAAGTTGACTTCTACCAATAGTATGATAGCAACAAGTATAGCCAGGAGCCTTGGCCAATCCTCCAGAGTGATTCTTTAGCATCTCACACTCACTTGAGGTGCCAGGATGGAAAGAAGGAAGGAGAAAATCATGCATACAAAAGTAGTCTTAGGCCTGGTGCTGTAGCCTAGGGGTTAAAGTCCTCGCCTGGCATGCACCAGGATCCCATATGGTCGCTGGTTCCTAACCCAGCAGCCCTGCTTCCCATCCAGCTCTCTGCTTGTGGCCTTGGAAAGCAGCAGAGGGCACAAAGCGTTAAGACCCGTGGTCTCACCCATGTGGGAGACCCAGAAGAGACTCCCCGCCCGTGGCTTTGGATCGGCACAGCTCTGGCTGTTGCAGCTGCTTGGACAGAGAATCAATGGATGGAAGATTTTCCTCTCTGTCTCTGCTCTGCTCTGTGTATCTGCCTTTCCAATGAGAATAAATAAATCATTTAAAAAAATGTAAAGTCTCCAACCTTCTTGGCAATTTGGGAGAAGGTGAAGGATGGTGACGGTAAATGACTAGAGCCATATTCTTTCTTATCAACAACTTCCCTGAGTGATGGGCCCATCTAACAAACTAACAAACTTAGAAGTGACTCTTGAGTACCAATCCCTCCCAATCACTCCTTGACTCCCCCCTAAGTCAGTGAGAGCCCAATGGATCATAGCGAATAAGCCCAGCGGAGAGAGGGTAGGCAGCATCCCCCAAATCAGCTACAAGTTAATATCAGCATAACAGCTCTGTGCTGCCCATCTGGTCCCATCTCTGTTGTGAAACACTTTCCTATTCATCACATTCTTCCAAAACACTTAGCATAGAAAAGATAAATTCCAGACAAAGTGAACTATGTAGAGGCAGAGGTATTATGATGGAAATGAGACTTTTGGGTTTGCTTTGCTCCAAGGGTGGATCTTAACTCCACCACATGGGAACTGGGGGTGAGTTGTCTGTGACCCTTGGTGTCCTCCTCAGTAAAATGGAGTCATGATTTCCACCTCTCAGGGCTGCAAGCATCAAGAGAGACAAGGTGTGTGTGGTGTCTCATACACAGCAGCTGCAAAGAGACACACAGCACTCAGGAATGGGCCTGCTGCCTGGCATACCCACTGAGTGCTTCAATGCTGAGACTCACTCTGGTGGGTCCTTCATCTTTTCAGATGCATGGGAGAACCGAGTTCCACTGAGTTTGATTTTTGCTTTAGGTAATTGATATTCTGTCTTGTGTTTCAGAGGGCATCATTTTAAATGAAAGGAGCTTCCAAGGTGCTTTGGAGTTTAAGAATGTACATTTTGCCTATCCAGCTCGGCCAGAGGCACTCATCTTTCAGGATTTCAGCCTGTCCATTCCAGCAGGATCTGTCACAGCACTGGTTGGCCCGAGTGGCTCTGGCAAATCTACAGTGGTCTCCCTCCTCCTGCGGTTGTATGATCCTGTTTCTGGTAAGTGGTCTCCCCTGCTGTGGTGCAGAGGCACTCTCCTGAGCATGTCTCTTACCCCTGTGTCCTTGGGGTACACTCAGATTATGCAGAGACCCTCCAGTGTGAGAGTTCTAAGTGCCTAGAGACAAAATCCCTTAGCCGGAGGATCTCATTGGTAGTGATGACAGCTCCCACAGGCATCTGCTAGGGAACCGTACGTTTCATGACCTACCTCTGCAAGTCGGTTGTGACTTCCTGAATTGCACCTCTTCATTGCTCATGCTGGTGCCTCCTCCCTCCCTGGGAGCAGGGAGGTGAGGCACACTCAGCAGCCCAGAGAAGGGACCTGGTGGTTGCAGAGCGTCCCTACCCGCCCTGCGAAACTGTGGAGCCACACTGTATGTCTGTCATGTGCTGGGAACAGGAGCCCTGACCTGAGAAGTGTTCCAGGGGAACTGTGATACCTTCTGCCTGTGACATTCAGTGATGATTATGTAGACAGTTTACTTGGAAAACAGTGATTCGCTTCTATGACAGCTCCACTGAAGACATTGAGAACTAGTAGGGATTTTCATTTTTTAAATTTGCATATATATAATTTTATTTTTAACTTTGTTTACATAGTTGAGAAGGATGTATGCCCATGCGGGCCCCTGATTATAGTGAGAAGAGTCAAGGTATGAAGACAGGAGGCTGGGACAAATGTTTCCCTTTTGTTTTCTTTTTCTCCTGTATCTTTTGGCAGAGAGGGTTTGGGGAAAAGAGCTGCTCCTTGCTGCCAAACTACATCAGCACTTCAAGGTTCAGGCTAGGTCATTTGATGTCATCTTAGAGACCCCGATGTGGGGAAGAAAGCTCTGGGGTGTTAATTCAGTGGTTTTTATCATTCTGAGGTGTTGTTGCTTTCATTACTCTAGGGTTAAGAAAATCTTCCCAAGGTCTGTTGGTTGACAAAGTCCACTTTAGTGCATTTACACACCCAGATACTTCCTACAAAGCTTGGCCAAGAAAGTTGTCCAACTTGTTCTGCTTTCTGTCCTCTGACAAGGCACTTGATGTTCTCTGCTGGCCTAGATGAGCTGGCTGTTGTGTCCCCCATGTGCATCGGGCATGCTGTCCACTGAACAGGCATCAGCAACTGAGGAGGCCCAGTCCCAGTACACGTACTCCAAGGTCTAACCACATATCCTGTCCTTTTCCCTGTGGCCTGAGTGTGTCCAGCAGTCTGGTTGGGGAGTTACCTAAGAAACTTTGCCTGAGGTGACCCCAGACCTGGCTGTCATATGCACCAGCTAGTACGGGGTCCAGTTCGGCCCATCGCCCGCATCGGCCTACACATACATACTGGTGAATGTAGTTGCTTGGTCAATTCTGCCCCCAACCCCATCTCCCACACAAACCGATGCATGCTGTGGTTTAATCCAATTCAGCCTGCCACACACCCAGCCCTAGCACACACCAACAGGAACTGCAGCCCAGTTGGAGCAACCCTGAATAATTCCCACCATACCCATTCCCAGCCCTGGCATTTGTACTGTGCAACAGTCTAATCTGGCACATCCCACAATCCATCCAGCTCTTGTATACACCCATGGGTGCTGTGGCTTAGCTCAGCCCAACCTACCCCTAGGCCCAGCACAAACATATGCTGATGGATGTTGTCACCCTGTCTCACTTGTGATGGTGGCTGCTAGGCCCCTGCCTGGCATGGTCTACCACAAGTCCTGGCCTTGGCGTGTGCTGGTGAATGCTGTAGCCTGGCTCACCCTAAGACCTGATCCTTGGGTAGATCTACTGGTGCTGCAGCATTCACCAGCACATGCCAAGGCCAGGACTTGTGGTAATTCCCATGAGTGTTGGTGAGTTCTGTGGTCATGCCTAGTTTGCCCCGTCACCACCCCCAACTCACACAAACCAGTAGGTACTGCATATCTCCTACAGAATCTGTCCCTTGGCCTGGTTCATTTGTGTGCCAGTTGGTGTCAATGCCCAGAATTGCATGGCCATCCCTATTCTGACACTCACTGACGGGTATTGTGGCCTGCCAGGTAGACCCCCAAGCTTTAGCTTTTGTGTGCGGGCAGTGGGTATTGCCAACTAGCCAGCCCAGGTTGCCCATGTGTGTAGTGGCATTGATCTGATCCAGACATGCCCTCTGTTTTCCCATCTTTTAAGACACCCAGTCTCAACTCCCTCATTTACCCGCAAGTACAGTGACTCAGTCCACAGAAGCCCCCAGAAGTCATTCCATACTTATAAAGTACTCCCTTGGTGGTCCCCACTCCAATGTGTCCCCAGATCCCCTTCTCTGAGCAATCCACAACCTTGCCACCAGCACGACCCCAGGGCTTCTATGCTGGCACACTGGTATAGTCAGCACAGGTTTGGCATTAACCGGATCCAGAATGCCCACCAGCTATTGGCTGTTTTTTCTCTCAGCAGTGTAAACTCTGTTATTTTTTCAATCTCGCTTTATATTTAGCTGCCTTAAAGGCATCTTTAAGAGTACTTTTAGCTCATAGTCTACCTGAAGTTTATAATCAATAGATATATATCAATTTGTCTTTGGATTGAAAAAATAACAGAGTTTACCAGAAATCAAATAAGAGTTAAAAATCAAATCATGGGAGCCAGTTTTGTGGCATAGAGTTAAGCCAGCATGTGCCATGTGATTTTCTGATCCAGCTCATTGCTAGTGTGCCTGGGAACTGGTTGGGCCTCTGCTACCTGTGTGGAGACCCAGAAGCTCCTGCTCACCCTGTCTCAGCCCTAGCCCTGGGGCCATTAGGGACTGAACTAATAGATGCAAGATCTCTTTGTTGCTGTCTTTGCTTCTCTCTACAACTCCACCTTTCAAAGAAATTAGTATTTTTTTTTTAAAGTCAAACTTTGAATTTAAAAAGACATCTTCTGTGTTTGTACTCGATTAAAACCGTGTGAGGGCTGCTTAAGTGTCAAGTTAATATTTGACTTGCAAATCCATACCCATGAAATCATCTCCTATCTTAAAATAAAATTTACTATAATATTTGCCTCTGGAATCACTCTCTTATATATATATATCCTAGATATAGTATATATATAAAAAAATATATATCCTAGTCAGGTGGATGCAAATAAAATCAAAATATTTAATCTTTAGTTCATTCATTATGTTAAATAAATCAAAAATGAAAATTATACTTGTATTTCTGCTATATATGGTCTGTAGAGCACTTGTACTTTTTAGTCAAGGACTTCACATTTTTGCCAGTTGACAAAAATGTCCAGCTGGCTTGTAGAATGCCACAACAGCAACTGTGAAGAAATGGCATTTCTTAACATTGCCACTGTTGCTGTCATCACCAAGTATTGTTGAATAACTTCAATATATAGGACTATTTCTGTTAATGAAGCTCATAGAATTAGCACTTGCCTATTTAGAAGCTCTGCATGGTATCAGTCAGACTGTTAGTACCAAATAACAGAGTCTCTTCAAAAGACTTATTTTTATTTGAAAGGCAGATTTTACAGACACAGAAAGAGAGACAGAGAGGTCCTGCATCTGCTTGTTCACTGCCCAAAGGGCCACAAAGGGCAAAGTTAGGTCAGCCTGAAACCAGGAGCAGGAGCCTCCTCTGCGTCTCCCACAGGGGTGCAGGGTCCCAAGGCTTTGGGTTGTCCTCTGCTGCTCTCCCAAGGCAATAAGCAGGGAGCTGGATGAGAAATGGAGCAGCCAGGATATAAACTGGCTCCCATATGGGATGCCTGTGCTGCAGGTGGAGGACTAGCTTGCTATGCCACTATGCTGACCCCACAGAGATATTATAAGGAATAACAAGAAGCTTTAAAAATCACTAACAGGGCTGATAAAAATTGGTTGAGGGTTGAGCTTCTAGGACACATCTCAGAAATTCATCACTAAACAAAACCTTCAGGGTAGCTGCTAACATTGGCATGGTCAGGAAGCTGCAGAATTTGGCAACCACGGTCATGAGTGCCAGCATCACAATTGCTAACTGCAGGCATTCATGCCAGCAGCAAGCACCACATGGCTTGCTTCTCTCCCATGTGATACTCTTCTGAATTGAGGATTAACCAAGTGCATCTGATTTGTGAAATGTTAAGTTACTCTGGAGGTTCTTGAGACGCATTCTCCAACCTCTTGGCATACAAGGAGATGAGCTGGATGAATGAACTAGGTGGGATAATCATCTAACCATGACAGTGAGGCAACAGGCTTGGTCAGTCCAGTGGTGTCAGATCTCCATTTGGAGATTTTGAGTATGTTTTTGTTTGATCTTTAAAAGCCGAGTCCAGAGTTTCCCCCACTGGATTATTTCTGTGTTCACATCAATCACCAACTGTCTGACACTCAATGACTCTTCCTTTCTACAAGGAACTATCAATCTTGATGGCCAAGACATCCGACAGCTAAACCCAGCATGGCTGAGATCCAAGATTGGGACCGTGAGTCAGGTAACAATAGGGGCTTTTATTTTTGCTTTACATTTTTAAGAAATTACTTTTGTCATTTTCTATTTTCTTGGCCTTGAACTTCTTCAGAAAAAAGCAGCAGAAACGTTTCAGATGTATTGCTTTAGTTGCACATGGCAGGTTGCTTGGGCTTGTAATGGTGTGGTTTCCTGAAAACCTGAAGCACTTTAACCAGCTGAAGCATTGCCTTTGTGTCTAAAGCCTGGGATTGACGGTACCTTGTGATGCAGAGAAAATGACAGAAGCTTTGATTGACTCCTCCTCAGTTCTCATTTTTATCACCAAACCCACTGTACCATTCTGCGTAATGGTAGCAAAGTCTGTGGCTGAAACCAGAGTCAGAGTCTGCCTTCAAAGAAGTTGCAGATTTCAAAGTAGAATATGGAGGTCATGTGGTCTCACTGATGCACTGTTTTCATAAGAATATTTGGAGCATGACCTTCACTGTGTCTCTTTTGTTATCACCAAGCACAGCAGACCCTGCCTCCATCACAAGCCTTTCCTGTAATGAGCACAGCCCACCACTAATGTCCCATTCCATACCCTCCCCTGCCCCTCAGGCCACTGGATCAGGGGCAGGTCAGGTGGTGATAGGGTACTTAGCCTTCTAAGGAAATCTGCATGTTGCACTTTAATGGATGGGGAAAAGAAGTGGCAGTTTGCCTTTGTTTGAGAACTACTCCACAGGGACCTAAAAAAAATAGTACTCTTATCTGGTTTGTGTGTTTCAAAAATAATGGATAAATAGGCATTCTTCCTGTGTCCTTAGTGGAAGACAAGACTCAGATTTATGGTGATGTCTGTGTGTCATGTACCATGTGTGGGGGTCCCTGGCACAGGGTCTTATTTTTGACAATATGGTGAGCACTACAGATGATAAAAAATTAATTCTGTTTATGGTAAAAATTGAGGATTTTTTTTTTCCTAAAATATTTATTATTTATTTGAAAGGTATAATTAGAGGAAGAGAGAGAGATTTTCCATTTGATAGTTTCCTCCACAAATGATCATATGGATAGGGTGGAGCCAGGCTGAAGCCAGGAACCCAGAACTCCAAAACTCCATCCAGGCCTCCCACATGGCTGGCAGGACCCTGGGTACTTAAGTCACCTGCTGCTGCTTGCCCAAGCACATTAGCAGGGAACTGAATTAGAAGTGGAGTGACCAGGACCTGTGCACATATGCTAATGCTAGTGTCACAGTGGTGGCTTAATTTGCTGTATCACAAATCTGGCCCCCAACTTGAGTTTTTCAAGAGTATTCTAGGACCCTCCCCTTGCCTGCACCGGGATCCCATTTAGGCCTCAGTTCATGTCCCAGCTGCTCCACTTCCCACTTGTGGACTGGGAAAGCAGTTGAGGATGGCCGAAAGCTTTGGGACCCTGCATCTGCATGGGAGACTCAGAAGAAGCTCCTGGCTCCTGGATTCGGATGGGCTCAGCTACAGCTGTTGTGGCCACCTGAGGAGTGAACCAATGCATGGAAGATCTTTCTCTCTGTCTCTCCTTCTCTCTGTAAATAAGACTTTCCAATAAAAGTAAATAAATTAAAAAAAAAAATTTAGGTGGGCCTAGTATGATAGCCTAGTGACTGAGGTCCTTGCCTTGCATGCACCAGGATCCCATATGGGCCCCAGTTCATCCACCTCTTTCCTTCCAGCTCCCTGCTTGTGGCCTAGGACAGCAGTGGAGGATGGCCCAAAGCCTTGGGACCCTGCACCTTTGTGGGAGACCCAGAGGAGGCTCCTGGCTCCTGTTTTTGGATCAGCTCAGCTTCACCTATTGCAGCTACTTGGGGAGTGAGCCAACAGATGGAAGATCTTTCTGTCTCTCCTTCTCCCTGTGGTTCTAACTTTCCAGGAGCAATAGATAGGGCTTTGAAAAAAAAATATTCTAGGAGCTGGCATGGTGGCATATCTGATTAATCCTCTGCCTGCTAGCACCAGCAAATCATATGAATGCCAGTTCAAGTACTGGCTGCTCTTCTTCCAATCGTGCTTTCCACTTATGGCCTGAGAGAACAGCAAAAGATAGCTCAAGCCCTGTAGCCATTTAGGGAGTGAGCCAGTGGATGAAAACCTCTCTCAGTTCTTCTCTCTGTTTAAAATCAGTCTTTCAAACAAAAATAAATCATTCTAGGGGCCAGCATTATGGTATAGTACGGTAAGCCTCTGCCTAAAAAGCTGGCATCCCATATGATTGCTGGCTCAAGTACTGGCCAGTTTAGTTCTAATCCATATCCTTTCTAATGCTTATGAGAAAGCAGCAAAAGATAAGTCAAGTGTGCAGGCCCCTGCAACCATGTGGGGAACCAAGAAGAATACCGAGTTCCTTGCTTTGGCATGGCCCAACCCTGGCCAGTGCAGCCATTTGCAAAGTGAACCAGAAGATGGAAGATGCTCTACCTCTCTGCCTCTCCTCCTGTCTGTATAACTTTGCCTTTCAAAATTAATTTTTTAGAGTATATTGGGTGAATTTATGATAAGGAAAAGAGTGTCTGAGAGCTCTTCAGTAATTTCACAGATTAAGTCTCACATTTTACTAGGCATGTTTGATTTTTTTGTTTGTTTAACAAACAAAGCAAAGCAACAAAGAGACACAGAGAAACAGATATTCCGTCCAATGGTTCTTCCACTGTTTGTTCTGCAACTGCCCACAATACTTGATCCATGCCAGGCCAAAGCCAGAAGCTCCCATCTGGGTGGTGCATATGGGTAGCAGGGGCCCAAGCACTTGGACCATCATCCTCTGTCTTCCAGGAACAATAGCAGAAAGCTGGCCTAGAAGTGAAGTTTCCAGGACTCAAACCAGCACCATGACATGGGATGTTTCAAGTAACATGTTGGTGTTGCAAGTGTTGGTGTTGGTAGCTAAGTGTGCTGTGCCACAAGGCTAGCCCCTACTAGGCACACCTAAAGTCTGTTTTGTTTTAATTTTTATTTATTGGAAACATAGAAAGATCCCTTATGCTATTTCACTCCCTCAAATTCCTACAACAGCTAGGGCTGGTCAAGGCCAAAGCCGGGACCTAGGAACACAGTACACGTGGGTGTCGGGGATCCAAGTACTTGGGGCAGTCACCTGCTCCTGTCTGTGAAGTGTGTGAGCAGGACCCTTAGATTGAGAGCAGAGCCGGATCTTGAAACCAAGGCACTCTGACATGGGATTTGGGTCTCATCCCAAGTGGTGTTACTGTAGGCCAAACGCTCAACCCTGAAATTTGTGATAAATGTGATTTTTTCCAATTTGCAGGAGCCGATTTTGTTTTCTTGTTCTATCGCGGAGAACATTGCTTATGGTGCCGACAACCCAGCCTCAGTGACTGCTGCCCAGGTGGAGAGAGTGGCTGCAGTGGCCAACGCGGCTTCTTTCATTCAGAACTTCCCCCAAGGCTTTGACACTGTGGTCGGAGAAAAGGGTGTTCTCCTCTCAGGTAGGTTTTCTTACTGTCCTGTAGCAAAGAGTGCTCCAAGGAACCCGCCACAATTTTCCAGATTGCATTAATATTTTCTAATTAGGATTTGTCCATATAATTTTATGGAAACAGCCTCACTACTTTCCAAAAAATCTCACATGTGGCTAATTTCACTTTTTATTTCCTACTTTGAAGGTATTCCCAAAAATCCCACTGAATAGTACTCAACGTCACCCATCCCTTTTCTCCTTTCCTTTATTCAAAATATTAGTTTATATATTTAATAAGTGGAGAGGGAGAAATATGAACGTACCTCTGTTAACCAAGATGGGTGGAACAGAGTTTCTTGTCTAATTGCAAGAAAGACTTAAGGCGTGAGATACAGGAGCAGTGGTAAGCAAGGTAAGGCATCTCAGACAGAATCTGAGAAAAAGGACCCAGCCGTTCAGGCTGGGGTAAGCATGGTTACATAGTTCAGTACACCTGACAGGCCAGGCGAGCCTCTCAGGAAAGACTGACAGTGCAGTGCGTGTTCAAACGGGGGCTTATACTGAAGCCAAAAGGAGAAACATCACAGGCCAGACAGGAAAGTGCCTTCTCACCCAGGTTACGGCTGAAGGGCAAATGCAAAGCATACTGGGGCATCCTGGTATTCAGACTCATCAGTGGTGCCACTTGAATCTACCGCGTGCTAATGTAGCAGCCTGGGCCATCACCCCACACAGACAGGACTGGGCAGGGCATCCCAGTAAACCACACCACAGAACACAGGGAAGGGGACAGGAGAAGGCAAGCCAAGCTCTAGATGTAACAATGTTGACCAGGAAAAAGACTCCCTAGTGCTTTTTTATTTCTTTTGCGATGCTGTAATTTGCCCAGTATTTGTTCATTCTGTTGTTAACCCCTACTGATTTTCCTATATTTGCTAGAAGTAACAACTTGTTTTAAAAAAAGCAAAAACAAAACTGGGTCTTATTAAGGAATGGGGTCCTGTTTCTGCTGCCAGTTCTCCTTCCCCTTCCTTCTCCTGAACGGAGGAGACGTAGTTGCAGACATCCCTGCCATCCAGAGGTAGGAACTCCTGCTCATCCTGTACCTCTGATCTGTCACTGTGTAGCCAGTGGACTGTGCCACTGCATCACCCATACATTTATACCATGTAGCTCAAAATTATGTTTTTGGGTTTACCTATTAAATTCCTTGGGCTTCCAGATTGTCACTAGGTGGCTGTGGATACTAGTTTTCTTCAACTCCTAGAACCCAGCTATCCTCACATCCACCACATGGCCCATTCAGTTGTCTCAACCGAAATGAGAACTAAAAGCCTTAAATAGAAGAGTTAATACATGAAATCATTCCATAATTTGGAACAATTTAACAGAACGAAAAAAAAAAAAGAGCTTATCAGACCTGGTTAGAAAATTGACAGGAAGTAACCAATTAAACAGAAACTATTAAAAGGAAATATTGTAAGGTGAGGATTTTTTGCAAAGGCATTTTAAAATTCAAGATCAAGTCTATTTCCAGGGCCTGACGTGGTAGCTTAGTGGCTAAAGTCCTTACCTTGCATTCACCAGGATCCCACATGTGTGCCAGTTCCTGTTCCAGCTACTCTACTTCCCTTCCAGCTCCCTGCTTGTGGCCTGGGGAAAACAGTGGAGCATGGTCCAAAGCCATCCTTGGGACCATGAGTGAGCCAGCAGATGGAAGATATTTCTCTCTCTCTCTCTCTCCTCTTTGTAAATCTGACTTTCCAATAGCAATAAATACATCTTTTTAAAAAGACTATTTCTAAATACTTACTAATGATATATTTCAAAAACCTTGTTGCTTTAGCAAATCAGATTTTAATCTTATGTTAGTGTTACTTTTTAGAAAACACGGTAAGCAATATTTTTAAAAGTGATAGTAAGTTTTATCATACATAGATTTTTCTTTCAAGATTTATTCCTTTCTTTTTTATATATATATTTTTTTATTAATTTTTATTTATTTATTTTTATTGCAAAGTCAGATATATAGAGAGGAAGAGAGACAGAGAGGAAGTGCTTCCATCTGATGATTCATTCTCCAAGTGATCGCAACGGCTGGAGCTGTGCCAATCTGAAGCCAGGAGCCAGGAGTTCTTCCAGGTTGCCCACGTGGGTACAGAGTACCAAGGCTTTGGGGCATCCTTGACTGCTTTCCCAGGCCACAAGCAGGGAGCTGGATGGGAAGCAGGGCCACCGGGATTTGAACCAGGGCCCATATCCGAGCGCATTCAAGGCTCACTGTGCTGGGCCCAAGATTTATTCCTTTCAAACCTCTGTGACCTATTTTTTGTAAATTACTTTAGTTAGTTTTCAGGCAGTCTTGGATTATTTGTCATACAGGAACAAAGATGAAAAAAAAAATGTTAACAAACCCAGATACTCCTCTTTATAGAATTTAAGAGTCATCAAATGTTGCATAAGAACTTACATCCAGACTTTAGAGACCTGGGGAGGGAACTGCTGAGACTTGTGTTTGAGATAAGGGCCCTGCCTTGGGCTGGGAGATAACTGGTTTTGCTCCTCCCTCCTCCCACCAGGCAGATGGGTGGGAATCAACAAGCTGCAAGTCACTGTGTGAACAAAGACCAGGAAAAGGTTTCCATCATTCTCCATGGTTTTTCCAAAGCCGGAGACCTCATTTGATAACCTTGCAATGCGTTTCACAGAATCCAAATTAACTAAGACAGCTATAAATAGTATCTTAGATCATTGCAAGATTAATAAGTATTTTATTAAAATGAGTATTTTAACCAAAGCTGTAGACCAGATCTAATCAAAGTCACTGTAATCTTTCCGTTATTAAAAGTAGGCAGAGGGTCTGGCACTGTGACACAGCTGGTTAAGCTGCTGCCTGCATTGCAGACTTTCAGTGTGGACACTGGTTCAAGTCCTGGCTATTCCACTTTGAATCCAACTCGCTGCTAATGTGCCTGGAAAACAGCAGAAGATGGCTGAAGTGTTTTCGGCACATGGGAGACCTGAAAGGAATTCCTGGCTCCTGACTCTGGCCTGCCCATCCTGGCTATTCATCCATGGGAGAATTGAACCAGCAGATAGAAAATCAATCATTCTTTCTCCCTCTCTCCATCCTCCTCCCTTCCTTTTTTTTTCTCTCCCTCCCCTCCTCTTTCCCTCCCTTCTTCATCCTCTCTATAATTCTGCCTATCAAATGAATATTTTTATATTGACTACTTTAAGACTACTAAGCTCTAAGTAATTAAAGTTCATAACCACAACAGAGAACATATAAAACTTCCCCAGATGCCTAAAATTCGCATTGCCTAAGTCAGATACAACAACACAGAAAAACTTTGATTGAAAAGGATTAGGACATGACATCAATATGAACCCATTACTTAGTTAAAAATCATGAAATCACATATTTCTGTTGTCAATGGATAAAGGAAAAAAAATCATCATAAATTGTAGAGAAGGGAGAGAGTTGGAAAGGGTTAATGGATTAAGGCCTCTCCTTTGTTAAGAAACCAGTCGGGCCAGCTGTAGCCCACACCCATTTCCTGTCCTGAATTTTAATCAGAGAGTAACAAGAAAAAGGGAGAGTCCCCATTTCTTGCCAGTTGTTCCTAACAGTTCCTGCATAGATTCATTGGGTGCACAAAAAGACACTTTGGCCAAGAGAGACCAGGGAAAGCCAGGGTGTCTAGTTTCAGGGGAAGAGAGGCACACCTCAGTTTCCATGAAGTATTTCTCCCAAGAGGAGGGCTGCAAGGACTGAACACGCCCTTTCACCACGTTCCTGGACTGTGGATTTGTTTTGGACTGGCAGAGTCCTGTACAACAGCAGCTCTTCCCGCCGTGGGTGTTATACAGCAGTGAGCAGTACCCTAGCGGCTTTAACTGCTCAACCTGTACCTGCCTGAGTGTGGCTTCCGCTGAGCCAGACAAGGCAAGAGAGAAGGTGGAAGTAAAAGGGACATGGAGCATTCCTCAGGGCGAGGTTGCTCAGAACTCAGTTCTGGGCCTATTTTCTCCTAGATAGTTCTACAAAACATATTCGCAGAGACCATTGGAATATGATCTTGTTTTCAGGTAAGAAAGAATTCAGACCTGAGGCAGAGTAGTGATCACCAGGTTAGCCAAATGTAACCAATACAAAGTGCACCTGATCGGCCAGGCAGGTATCTCTGGAAAAAACTGAGTGAGATACATTTGATTGACCAAGTGGGGGTGTCCTAGGAAAGGGCTTAGAATCTAGGCTTCTGTTTTACCATTCCCGCTAAGTTACCACGTGGTCTATTATCAATCATTTCTATTAAGGCCTTTTTTTCCCTTTTGTCTTTATCAGGTGGGCAGAAGCAGCGGATTGCAATTGCCCGTGCTCTGCTGAAGGTAAGCCTAAGCCATGTAGATGGGCTTTTGTGTTTTTTTGTGTGTGGGTATGCATGTTTTTCTGTGTTGTGTTAAATTAGGAGCCTTGTAATTTGTAAATTGCTAGTTTCTCTCTTTCTTTGGACAGGGAGAGTAAAGATATGATTGGCAGTTGTGATAAAACAAATTGGGGAGCCAGCACTGTAGCATAGTAAAAACTTATTGTGGTGCCAGCATCCCGTATAGGCACTCGTTCTGATCCCAGTTGCTCCACTTCCAATCCAGCCCCATCTAATGGCCTGGGAAAGCAATGAGAATGGCCGAAGTCCTTGCACACTGGACTCACGTAGGAGACCCAGAAGAAGATCTGGGTTCCCAAGCTTACACCAGCCCATTACACAATGGATAGGGGACTAATATACAGGATTTACAAAGAGGTTCAGACATCTGCATATGAGGAAGGAAACTGTAATCCTATATGTACAGCAGCACAGTCTACCAAAGCAAAGACATAGAAACAACCCAGATGTCCATAAAAAGAGGAGTGGATAAAGAAACAGTGGTATAGCTATTCCATAGAATACTACTCAGCCATTACCAAGAATGAAATTCTGCCATTTGCAACCAGATGGTCCTAACTAGAGACCATTATGCTCAGTGAAATAACTTAATCCCAAAAGGACAAACACCATTTGTTCCTTCTGATATAAGGCAACATTCGTGCAAATACAAAATCAGTAGCCCTTTAAATGCTGTTTGTGCTACATCTCATGGGTTTTGAAATTTTTGCTTTTATTTTTATTCATTTTTTTCCCTTATTAATTTCAAGGTGTGCCCAATCTTCCCCTGAAACTAGCCACCCTAGCTTTCCCTGGTCTCTCTTGGTCAAAGTGTCTTTTTTTCCTTATTAATTTCCTCCCTGACTCATACATCACACAGTAGCATCATTTGCTTCAAGAACATTTTAAATTTTTTTTCATTTCTTCAGCAACACATTGGTCATTCAGTAGCATGTTATTTAACTTCATGATAGTTTTCTATGTTTTTCCTAAGGTTGATTTTGTTTCATGGCTTTTCATTTAAGGGGATGTATAGTAACTGTGTAATAGAGACTCACATCCAGATGTGGAACCTGTAGGCTGCCATGTCAGAACAATGCGCTGAGACAGAAATGAATTTGCTCCAAGCTTCGTGCATGTGCAGTCCTGTCCCCACAAGCTTTGCCTCCCTACACAAAATGGCACCCAATGCAGCTCTGGTGATTGTCTCAGCTGTGAGATTCACCTTATTCCTGCACTGCCTGTTTGGGATCTGCTGCTCTGTCTCTACTCCTGGTTGAATGAAACAAATGAGCAGAATGCGCAGTTCTTTGGATTCACCTCCTAAGTTCGGTGAACTCCCTTTCCTACCTGGCTGCTGGTGGAGCTCAGTTCTCCGCTCACCGACCGACACTTGCGTATCTGGTCACTGCAACACCACACTGTTGTCTCCACTGCTTTTCCGTGTCTGTCAGTCTCCAGGTGTCCCTCTGCCATCGGCTGCCCTTTCCTGTTTTTAATATTCCCTCTCTTCTTCACCATGGCTAATGATTCTCTGATTAAATGTGTCCTTACCATTTGGGTTGTTTCCAGCTTTAGGATCTTAGGAATAATATAGAAATTACCTTTGTGGGGAGATGTGTATTTTAATTTCTTGTGGGCACATGGCTAGGCTAGGCAAAATGAGAATTTAAGGTATTACATATACCAGTTTACTTTTAACTCTCCCATCCCATGGCTCACTCCCCAAATGACTACAACAGTCAGGATTGGGCCAGGATCAGATCCACCCTGACCTCCCACATGGGTGGCGGGAACTGAAGTATTTGCGCCATCGTCTACCGATTCCCCAGCACATTAGCGAGGAGCTGGGTTGGAAGCAGAGTAGCTGAGTTTCAGCTGGCTTTCTGAGCAGCACCCTAACTGGCTGTGCCACAATGTCTGCCCCCTCTTTTTTTTTAAGATTTATTTATTTTTATTGGAAAGTTAGCTATACAGAGAGAAAGGGAGACAGAGAGGAAGGGAGACAGAGAGGAAGATCTTCCATCTGATGGTTCACTCCCAAAGTGACCGCAACGACTGGAGCTGAGCTGTTCTGGAGCCAGGAGCTCTTCCAGGTCTCCCACATAGGTACAGGGTCCCAAACCCTTGGACTATCCTTGACTGCTTTCCACGTCACAAACAGGGAGCTGGATGGGAAGCGGGGCCACAGGGATTACAACCTGCACCCATATGGGATCCCAGCGTGTGCAAGGCAAGGACTTTAGCCACTAGGCTACTGTGCCAGGCAACATTTTAATATATTTTAATTGCCCTTAGAGATCCTCTGCCCTCAGCAGCCACACATACTGTCTTGCCTATTGCAGACATTTCATGTACAATGAAATCAAGTAATATGTGGTTCCCTGGATCTGCCTTTTTTCACTTAGCTTAATTCCAATGTTCATGCGCATTGTAGCATCTGTAGAATTTCATTCCTTTTTACTGAAATTTTATGTTTTCTAATAAATTTATTCTTCTTTTCTTCTTTCAGAACCCCAAGATCCTTCTACTAGATGAAGCAACCAGGTGAGAATATCTTAATTAAAATGTTTTATTCTGTAGACAGAAGATCTTCCTCTCTGTTTCTCTTCTCTTTATCTTTCCAATAAAAAAAATAAATCTTTAAAAAAGTTTTACTCTGTTTGTATCACTTCAAGGTAATACAAAATGCTTTTCCCTGTTGTGCTTTAAGTGGTGGAGACTGAATAAATAGTGACATGTGCAGAGTGAGTTGTGGGTCCAGGATCCCAGTCCCTAATCACCCTGTTAGCAGCTGCTGGGTAGAATGCCTGTTCATCTACATCACTGAATTTTATATTGATTAAGTGCCAGGTGTCTTTCTTATAGTATCTTTTAGCCCAAACAGTGGAAATTTGTTTTAGGTTGGTTTGTTTGAAAAGAGAATTACAGAGAGAAAGACAGACAGAAATGTATTTTCCATCCCCTGGTTCACTGCCCAGATGGCTATAGCGGCTAGCGCTGGGTCAGGCTTCAGCCTGGGATTCCCTTTGGGTCTCCCATTTGGTGCAGGACCAGCACTGGAGCCACTGCTCTCCTAGGTGTGTTAGCAGGAAGCTGAATCAGCAGCAGAGCAGCCAGGGCTCCAGTCATTCATGGGATTTGGTATGCCTGCAAGGCGGGCAGCTGAGCTCACTGTGCTGTGATCACAGCCAAAGTTCACTGCTGATGAAGGGCCATCATGCCTATTCCAAGAAGCATAGGAATCCATGGTCTGCAGGGCACTGACATCTTCGCTTCCTTCCTTGTGTGTCTGCCCCAGTGCCCTGGATGCTGAAAATGAACACCTTGTTCAAGAAGCTCTAGACCGACTGATGGAAGGGAGGACAGTGTTGATTATTGCCCACCGTCTGTCTACCATTAAGAACGCTAACATGGTTGCTGTTCTTGACCAAGGGAAGATCATTGAATATGGGAAACATGAGGAACTGCTTTTAAAACCAGATGGGATATACAAAAAACTAATGAACAAACAAAGCTTTATTTCTACATAAAGAAGCCATTACTGGTAAACTGAATGTAAGAGACTGAATGTAAGAGTAAAACAGTATTGTGGAAAGAAAATACTTAGAAACTAAGTAATCTGTGAATTGTACTTCAAATTATTTGAAATATTTTTTCCAAAGTATGTAAAATATTTTCAAATGTATTTTGTTCTCAAGACCTTTTTGTTCAGAGTTTTAATCATAATTTTCTAAATGTCTATAGCACTGAAGTTATTTTCAGGTTTGGTACTTTCTTTTATCTTGGATATCATAATTAATATAGCATGGCACCCTACTTCCTTTTCCCTGCTGTTATGTGTTAAAGCTACTGTCAAATGACAACTTGAAAGGGAATTATCAATAAAAAGCCTACTTCTTTTAGGCCATTTTACCATTCACTGTGACCCACTGCTTGGGGTTGGTACAGTAAAAGGAAATGAAGACCTTTTATCCTGATGTGTTATGCTGATGTTCTCCTCACACATAGACAGAAGTCATCATTTTCATTTGGAGAAAGGACAATGTTTATGTTGCCTGTACTCCACGTCCTCAGATGTGTGATTGTTTAGGAATATGTGTTCCAAAGGGATGTGACAAGATTTGAAAGCCTCAGCATTTTGGGATATGAAAGCCTGATGAGTTTTATAAGCAGAAGGATGTATGTTGCCACGCACAGGAAAATTTCTATTTTCACATGTTTGTTTCTGTGAGTGCTTTTGGGAAACAAGGCTTGAAGTGCCTTGTATTATCAAGAAAAATAGCCAAAATTAATTTTACATTTTAGTTTGAAAGCATGTATTTTGACAGTTATCTTGAAAATTTCAACTTCTCAAACTAAAATGTATAGATATTTTGGTAAAACTTCTGCAACTTTGTTGATGGTAGTAATATTTTTCATCATCAAACATTTGAAGAAATCTTAGAAGTTCTTGTTACTCCATGAAATAATAAGTCTTAAGAATTTAAGAATGTGTCTTAAATGTCTTCCTGAAAAGAAGACATTAGGAACTGTTTTTCTTTGACTTATGGTTAGAATTTTGGTCACTTAAGTGTCTTGAGACTCTTAAGGCAATATGACAACCATTGAATTTGCCATTCTTCAGATTGTTAATTTGCTGTTGCCTCAATTAGGGGGAAAAAAAGTGCTGTTTCTACATTGATGATACCCAAACTATAAAGCAATTATGTTGAAGCTTTTCCATGTGTGGAGTATTCACTAGTTCCCTGAATAAATTGGCTTAAACCTACTTCATGAAAAGCATGGAGTTGCATTTTATTCTGCACATGGAGCGTATGAATGAATGACATGGACTCTGCTAAATGTAGTGTCCTTTGGCTTGCAGCACACCTGTCACAACGATTTGAACAAGCTTTCCATGCACTTTTTGGTAGAGTTTGCCATTACATTGTGGTTGTCAAAAAGCAAGCAAAGCACAAGTCCAAGGGTGAATCTGAGAAAAAGCTCTATTCCCTAGAAATATTTGCAAAATTGAATCTGATTATATTGCATTTTTAATATGTGTAACTGTGCCTTAAAATTTGTAGTACACATTATCTGTCATTTCTTGTAAAACTTTTTATTACATTCAGTGTCTTACTAGATTGTGGCTATAGAGAATCGGTAATAAAGAAAAAACTAACAGTGTGAATATAGAAACCTAGTAGTAATTGCATAAATTTCACTTCTTACCTTCTTATTAATGTCTTTTCTTATTTACAAATAAACATTGTTAATTACTTTAGAACAAGAAATAAGTATCCCGGCCCCTATCATGGCCCAGGAACTGTGTTATGAAGCTGATAATGAATGAGTAAGATAGTTGTCTGCCCTCAAGGAGCTTCTACTTCAGAAGCAGCAGCAAAACAGGTAAAATTAATAACAAGAAAGCATCTAAGTATTATACAGAATATTGCTGCTAACACTGTATTCTGGTATTGTATTCATTTCCAGAGTATTTGTTCATGTGACCACATTTGATACTTGGGCAATCCTATAAATTATGCAAATACCTGCCATCATCATTACTCCAGTGAAGAAATACATTTAGGCAAGGTTGAAGTTACTTCAGCATTGATGACATACACAATTTCAGGCAAGGAGTAGGAAAAGGAGATGTTAGAAATAGAAAGGGGCAAGCCTTCAGTACTGGGTTGATCATCTCAGCTTGTATCAGACATGCATGGGGAGTCACTGGAGAAAATGTGTGTTCTTGTAAGCATTTAGGAAATAAGCACAAGGGGACATGTACATCTGTGCCATGCTATGTGTGAGAGTAAAGTTCCACTTTGCAAGGCGCCACTTTGCAGTATGCCTCACAGGTTCATGTTTGTATGCAAAGTCTCCCTGATCTTGGATCTGGCAGGTTTCCAAGAAATAAACCCATGTTGAAACCATTGTAGGTCAAACCCCTGTCAGTAGACTTTTATAAAGTAGGGCTCCATTTTGGGAAACTTTAAAAAAGGGGGGGGGGGGGGAATAGTCAATTGAAAAATAAACGAAACATATAAACCTTCCAAAACATTAAGTGCTACAAATGAAAAACATTTATCAAAACTACGTTGTCAGTGTTTTTCTGCATGAGGCATCATGGAGTTTTCCCGGCTGTGTCTGTCCATTTCTGTCCATTGAGTTCATTCAACAGTTACTGAGCCCTTGTTGAGTTAGAGCCTATGTTAGGTGCTAGCTGAACCTTCTCCAGAAAGCTAGTGCAGAGTCAGTAAGCTACCACCTGCTGCCCATTTCTGTGTAGCCTGCAAGCTAAACTAATGGTTGGAGGGGAAAATGTACAGAATGTTTCACAATATATTTAAGAAAACTATGAAGTTTAAATTTCAGTGTCCACAAGTAAACTAGGAATTGTCAATGGCTGCTCTTGCCCTAACCAGTTCAAGGAGAGGAGGTTATGACAGATCATCTGACCTTCAAACTGAGGCATCTGACAAAGTTTGGTGAACCAAGAGCTACTAAAAAAGCAAATAAATGAAAAGTGCAGTTTGTAAAGATTGAAGGGCTTCTAAACCACATATTTATAGCCTTTTCAAAAAGCTTCATTGTCAATTAAATGAGGATTAGAAGAATACCCTGAAAATACATGGTTGTGGATAATTTCCATGCTGTTCTTCATTTTCTGCTTTTCCACCCTAATATCTTAATCATCACCTTGCTGAGAATGGGATTCAAACAATGCTACATCTGCAAGGAATAATTCGGGAAGCTTTACCTGAGAGTGCAGAGGCCCTGCCCAAGGAAGCCCCCGTTAGTTATTCCTCACCTGGAAAATATTCTGTCAACCCCCATATACCCTTTCCTTGGGTAATCCAGAGCCCCATCTACCCCACTCCCCCTCTAGCACATACTCCCAGGGTTGTCTTCCAGCAGAGCACATCAGCCCCTTCCCATGTATCTAAAAAAACAGGCAACCATGTTGACACACTGGTATAGTTAACACAAATCTGGCATTAACCAGGCACGCCCACCAACTATTGGCTGCTTTTGTCCCAGGAGTGTAATACTTGCCTAAGTAAAAGGCAACCTAGGCAGTTGGCTATAACTGGGGGATTGAGCTTTCACATATGTGCCAATGTTATGGCAGCATAAAAGTAAAACATCACCATTTGTGAGGTCAAGGCATTTTATTTTTTTTTTAAGATTTATATTGATTTTTATTGGAAAGGCAGATATACAGAAAGGAGGAGAGAAAGAGAGGAAGATCTTCCACCCAATGGTTCATTCCCTAAGCGGCCACAATGGCTAGTAATGAGCCAATCAGGAGCCCCTTCTGGGTCTCCCACATGGGTAAGGCATTTTATTTATTTACTTAGGTTTCCTTGAGAGAGCAAGAGCACTATCTTCTGTTGGTTCACTCCCCAAATGCTCACAACAGCTGGGGCTGGCCAGGCCAAAAGCAGGAACTCCATGCAGATCTCCCACATGGGAGGCAGGGACCCAAGCACGTGAGCCAGCACCTGCTGCCTCCCAGGGCATGATGAGCACATTTCAAAAGGGAAAAAACAAAGATGCAAAACAAAAAGTTTCAAACATTAAATCCCCTACAACCACAGTCTCTGCAACCTCATAAACAAATAATAATTAAAAGCGTATCACTAATATTAATAAAATTACCCTATAACTCCTCTATTCACAAAATTATAAAAGTGACCAAAACAGCTATATTTTCCATGCTCTAAAGAGTTGCAAGGACAGACTGACCTTTAGGGTCACAATAACTATATTTTTTGTCATAGCAGTTTCAGTTTATACTCCCATCACATCCATTAATTTGTAAGATTCTTATCAAGCCATTTCCCAGAAGACATGCTACATGTCTGGGCCAGATTCCAGGGCAATGGGTAGGCACACAATAAGGTGTCCAGAAAGAGCATGGGCTTAATTGTACTCTTGTGTATAAAGACCCACTCGCCAAAACATTATCAGTAACATCAACTCCCAAACTCACATCAATTGCAAAAACCATCTCACAGGGGGCAAATAACAATGCCTCAATAGATTATAGGATTCTTAGCGGTGTGCTTTAGTGTCCATACAAAAGGGGATAAGACTGCATTGACGTGAGTGGAGAGACATCCGCTGGGCCTTGCCATATAGCTGGAAGCTCCTCTAGGCCCTGCCAACAGGGGAGCTGTTCTCTTCACACCTTCGTGTCATCCACACCTACTGCACGGACCCCAGCTTGCCTCCTCTTTCCTGGAGCCTCTTTTCAACAGGATCCCACAGGCCTCTGCTGTCCCAGCTCCTCCACTGGGTGTATTCCAACAGGAGACCTTCTCTCTCTACTTCTGTTAAAAAAAAAAAAAAATCTGCCTTTCAAATAAAAAAGCTTTAAAATAAAATGCCAGAGTCCAGCTCCAGCTGGGTTCGGAACTTGCGAAGGGTGCGTGCATGAGGCGCAAAGAGGAAAGAAAGACAGACCACTAGGATTTCATGATCATAATGGACAATGCACGAAAGCTGTCCGCTTTATTTACACAAAATCAGTCAAACTCTGGCTCAGACTTTTTACTTTACGTCATGGTCAAGTAGGTATTTCTAAAGATAATTCTGCCATATGGGATACAGGGCGTGCAAGGCGAGAACCTTAACCACTTGCGCCACTGTGCCGGGACCCCTAGAAGGCCCTTTTGTAAGACATTATTATTGACACTAACCTCCAAGCTCACTTTGAGTAAAAGGCCAGCCTCACAGTAGCAAACAATGCCTGGATGGATTAGAATTCTTCCGCAGGGTGGTCCGGTGTCCATGCAAAAGAAGGTGGAGCTGCATTCAGGTGGTTGTAGAGACGTCCGTGGGGCCCTGCCAAACAGCGGGAAGTTCCCTGGGGCCCTGCCTGCAATGGAACAATACTCTTCACACCTTCGTGTCCCCCACATCCACTGCACGGACCCCAACGATAAAAGACTAGGGGCACAAAAGGATAATGGGATATCTACTCCTATAGAAGCTTTTCACTGAGAAGGCAGCAATGAACTAGAACTGGATGTGTGAGGGCCAAGGGGGAAGAAAGGGTACTTTAGGTGATTTGTGCAAGGGTACTAGAGTGGGGTTTTATAATACTTCCAATGTTCAGTGTACTGCTGGGAACAATACAAGTCCAGAAAAGCTAAAGATTTACTCACATATTTCAAAGGGAAAGCGAAATAGAGGAAAGATAGAAGAATCTTCTGCTGGGGTCCGTGCAGTAGTTGTGGGGGACATGAGGAGGTGAAGAGTGTTCCATTGCAGGCAGGGCCGCAAGGAATTTCCCGCAGGGCCCACCCGGCGGATGTCTCTACAACCACCTGAATGCAACTCCACCTTCTTTTGCATGGACACTGGACCACCCTGCGGAAGAATTCTAATCCATCCTGGCATTTGCTACTGCGAGGTTAACCTTTCACTCAGCCTGAACTTGGAGGTCAATGTCTTGCAAATGGGGCCCTTTTGTCATTCCTATTATCTTAACTGTCTCCATTGAACCTATGCTAATCAAGGGACCTGTATTTAGGCTTTTATTCTTTCCTTGACCTTTAAGTTCTCCTTTTCTTTGTGATACAAGATTGAGTTGTAGGATAAGAATCCTAGCAGGAACTTCTATTGTTTCTAAGTAAAACTAATGGCAGAATTATCCTTAGAAATATCCATTTGTTCATGACGTAAAAAGTCTGAGCCAGAGTTTGACTGATTTTGTATAAATAAAGCGGACAGCTTTTGTGCATCGTCCATTATGATCATCAAGTCCTAGTGGTCCAT